TGTGCATGTGTGCCCAAGATCCTGAGAGGAGAATGGAGGAGAAGGGATTGTGGCGTGACCATCCCCCCAGGGGGGTGATTTCTCGCTTTCTGTCTCTATGTCTCTCTCTGTCTGTGTGGCGAGCGCACGCGCCCTAAAGCGAAAAAAACCCCCCCAAAAAAAAAAAAAAAAGAATTTATAAAGTCTGGAATTTTGTGTCTGGAATTTATAAAGAACACTTACCATGAAATAATAAAAAGATAAATCCAATATAAATGGACAAAGATTCTGAATAGACACTTTCCAAAGAAGAGATTCAAATAGCCAATAAGCACATAAGAATATAGTCAATAACATTAGCCATTAGCCATTAGGGAAATGCAAGTCAAAGTCAGAATGAGGTGGGGGCCTGCCGGTGGCGAGCTGGTTAAGGCACTGGGTTCCCCCAAGGCTGACTGTAGTCCAACTTCCAGACCCAGCAGCTTCAAAATCACACTGGATGTCTGTGCTTCTGTGCGTGTCCCAGGATTTCAAGAGGAGAATGGAGAAGAGATTGTGTGACATCCCCTCTGGAGGATGATAGTTCACTTGTCCACTCTGTCTCTCTTCAGCGAACAGACACATGCTATGGCAAAATCCTTAAAAAAAAAAAAAAAAAAGATAAAAAGAAAAGAACAAAACAAAATTATAATAATAATAAGAAGAAGAATTAAGGGAATCAGCAGGTGGCATGGTGGTTAAGGCACTGGACACTTCCACATGGCTGACCATGGTTCAAGTCTTGGACCTGGTGGCTTGCTTTCTCCCTTTCTGTCTCCCTCTCCCTCTCTCCCTCTCTCCCTCTCTCTCTCTCTCTCTCTCTCTCTCTCTGTCTCGCTCTGGTCAAATTAAAATAAATGAATGAATAAATAAAATTAAAGTTGTGAATTCTTTAAAATATCTTTTTTTTTTCCAGAAGTAATCAGAATTAGCTAACACTTCATACCCATATTCACTAGGACGGCTATAAGAAGACAGGTTAATCACAAGTGTCAGAGAGAATGTGGAAAAGCTGAAACACTCATATGCCACTGGTAAGAACATAAAATAATGCAGCTCTTGGCAAACAGCCTGGCGATTACTCAAGAGGTTAAACATAGAATTACCACATGATCCAGTAATTCCACTCCTGGGCCCAAGAGAATTAAATGTTCACACAAAACTTGTATAAGAATGTTCATAGCAGTATTATTCAAAATAGCTAAAAACAACCCAAATACCTATCAACCGTTGAATGGATAAACAAGGTATGGTATGTCCAGACCATGGAATTTTACTCAGCCACAACAAGGAACGAAGTTCTGTAACACGAGCCTTGAAAGCACTGTGCTAAGTGAAAGAAGCCAGTCAGCGAGGAACATATATTGTATGATTCCATTGTATGAAATGTCCAGAACCAGCAAATCTGTAGAGACAGAATATAGATCAGTGGTTGCCTAGGACTGGGGGGTGAGGTGGGAACATTGAAGGGCAAGGGAGGGGTGTGGAGTTTCATTTAGAGGTAATAAAAATGTTCTAAAATTGTGCCACTGGGACCAGCAGATGGCATAATGCTTATGTCGCTGGACTCTCATGTAGTCAACCATGGTTCGAGTCCCAGACCCAGTAGCATAAAATTCATGCCAGGCGGGGGACCAGCAGTTAGCGTAATGGCTACGTCGCTGGACTCCCACATAGTTGACCACGGTTCGCGTCCCGGACCCGGTGGCTTAAAACTCAACGCCAGGTGTGTGTGTATGCGTGCCCAAGATCCTGAGAGGAGAATGGAAGAGAAGGGATTGCGGCGTGGCTATCCCCCCGGGGGGTGATTTCTCGCTTTCTGTCTCTCTGTCTCTCTCTGTCTGTTTGGTGAGCGCATGCGCCCTATAGTGAAAACCTCTCCAAAAAAAAAAAATACTCATGCCAGGCGCATGTGCATGCATGCCCAAAATCCCTAGAGGAGAATGGAGAAGGGATTGCAGTGTGGCCATCCCCTCTGGAGGATGACTGCTCATTTGTCCTCTCTGTCTCTCTCCAGCGAGCAGACACACCCTATGGCAAAATCCTGTCTCTCTGGCAAGTGCAAGCTCCCTATAGCAAAAATCTCTCTAACGGGGCCGGCAGGTGGTGTGGTGGTTGAAGGCACTGGACTCCCACATGGCTGACTACAGTTCAAGTCCCAGACCTGGCGGCTTGCTTTCTCACTTTATTTCACTCTTTCTCTCTCTCTCTCACTCTGTCCCTCTCTGGCCAAATTAAAATAAATAAACAAATAAATAAAGTTTAATTTAAAAAAATTATTCAACTTTATTTATTTATTTTAATTTAACTAGAGAGGAGCAGAGAGAGAGAGAAAGCAAGTCACCAGAACTCAAACCATGGTCAGTCATGTGGGAGACCAGTGCCCTTAACCACCACGCCCCCTGCTGGCCCCCAAGTTAAATAATTCTTTAAAAAATAAATAAAAATTTTGTCACTGATTGTACAACTCTATGAATATACTAAAAGCCAAAGAATTGTACCATTTTCCTTTTTAAGATTTTTGACATAGGATGTGTTTGCTCACCAGAGAGAGACAGAGAGGGAAGGTGAGAAATCACCCCCCAGAGGGGTGGCCATGTTGCATTCCCTTCTCCGCCGTTCTCCCACCCAGGTCTGAAATTCAAACCTTGGAGTCAGTCCTGTGAGATCCAGCGCCTTAACCCCACGCCCCCTGCTGGCCCAGAATGGTACAGTTTAAAAGGGGAGGCGCTATGGTATATGAATTAAATCTCAGCAAACCCTGCAAAAAAGGTACCAAATGCTCTGAAAGTGGGACCTAGTCTATATTTGCCGACCCCTCTCCCAGGTCTGTCCTCGGATCCTGTGCCCCTGTGCTAGGACTTGGGGTTCCCTTTCTTGTCTAAAGTCTCTCAGTCAGCAAATTCCAGATGGGATGGATGGGGAGCTAGATCCTCTGGGTCTCTGCCCCCTCTAAACTTCAGCTTATGGAACCCTGGGCCCTGAAAATTCCGAGGTTGAGACTGCACATTCTGAGGTGGAGATAGTGGACAATGGAGGGCGTGTTTGAGGGGCAGGAAAGCACTGAAGAAGGGGGAATGGTTAGGGGAGTCCTAATGGGAGAGAGGTTGGGGAGAAGAGAAGAAATCTGAGGGAAGGTAAAGTCTTGGCCACAGCCCCACCTCCACGTCAAGTGAGAGCCTGGGTCCCTTAGAAGGCTGGAGCTGCATTTGGGTGGGAGGTCACTGGTGAGCTGAGGTCTTGATTGCTGTGGGGGTATCGGTTTGCCCATAGAAAGGACCTGGAGGGTAGGAAGGCAAAGCAGGGATTTGGGTTAGTGGCTATTGGGGTACCGCGTCTGTGTCCTCTGTAAATTACAGAAGAAAGCAAGCCTCTGGGACTTGAACCATGGTCAGCCATGTGGGAGTCCAGCGCCCTTAACCACCACTCTACCTGCTGGCCCTGCACCTGGTATGTTTCTTAGACCACCAGGTCTGGAACGTGAACCCATGGAGTTGGCCATGTGGGTGAGATCCAGTGCCTTAACCACCATACGACCTACTAAACCCATTTTATGAACTTTTTAAAGTTTAACTTTATTGATTTATTTTAATTTGACCAGAGAAGGAGAGAGAAAAGCAGCTGCCAGGTATGGGACTTGAACCACAGCTGGCCATGTGGGAGTCTAGCACCCTTAACCACCATGCCACCAGCCAGCCCCAGGCTTAGGAACTTTTTAAAAGTTTATTTCTTTGAACCAGCAGATGGCATAATGATTACATCGCTGGACTCCCACGTAGTTGACCATGGTTCAAGTCCTGGACTCAGTGGGTTAAAACTCATGCCAGGCACATGTGCATGTGTGTTCAAGATCCTGAGAGAACAGAGGAGAAGGGATTGCTGTGTGGCCATCCCCCCTGGGGGATTATTTCTTGCTTTCTGTCTCTCATCTCTCTCTCTCTGGTGAGTACACACATCCTGTCATAAAAATCTCTCTCAAAAAAAAAAAAAAAAAAAATCTGTGTCACAGCGAGAAAGACAGAGAGAGAGTTA